AGAGAGAGAGACGTTTAATTAATACACAATTTATTATTTATAAAAGCAAAAAGTTTCAATCCAATCCGTTAAATGTGAATAAACTCGGAATAAACAATTGGAAGGGGGGTGTGCAAGATTCCTTTTTACGTTATTTTGTATACAAAACTAGGTCTAAATAAATAAACAATCGCTTTCTGTTTGAAAAAAATAAATAAATATTTAAATTCTTTTTTAAAATAAAATAGTTGATTTAAAGTACTTTAATTTATTATTTTAACTTTAAAAATATATATATATATATACACAGAGCTGTTCTATACATTAAAATATGCGTTTGAAACAATGTATGGTAAAACCTCGATATAGCGACCTCCTAAATAGTGCCATATTGTAAACGAATCTTTCACATTAAACACAACTATTATCATCGTGTGTTTCATGTTCAAACTCAGATTTATTTGTAGACCTCATTATTAAGTAGCCTACACTCAAACCTGTTAACAACGACCGCTGACGGAAACGTAAAAGTATGGCCTTTGTTGGAGGTTTTACTCGATTCTTATTGTTTCAATTAATTCGGTTTAGCGCCGCACTCCATTTATCGCCACTTTCAGAGGTAAACTATATCGAAGGTTAACTTTTATATTATATCCGTTTAATTAACGTCAAATCACCGTACAACCCGCACAAGAAGTGTTAAATTAACTTCATAAAATCAATAGTGTTGAACACTAGAAATGTTGCATTTATATTATAAAAATCTCTATATTTAATACATAAATTCAAACAGTTTCCGTGTTCAACGCTATTGATTTTATGCAGTTAATTAACATTTCATGTACAGACTGCATTAAGTTGATACGAGTTAAATTAACTCTGATAAAATTGAACAAGATAAGATATAAACCGTTCAAAATATGCCCTTTATTAAGCAAATTTATTCCAAAAATATACCCCCGAATAAATCGATCGCCCTCTCCCCCTTAGGAGCTACAAAACACCGGATTAAGGACACCCCTGATTTAAACTGAAAATAGAACTGTTGTGCCCTGCTTATACTACTTACAAAAGGCCCCTCCTTCTATATTAAACAGAAAGTAACGCGAGGCCCTAAACTACAACTTATACCAAAATTTTACACAAGGCTTTATAATAAGCTTATACATACTGTAAAATATTAAAAAAGGGTGATTAATTGACGTGTATAGAGTAGAAACACGTACAAAGTGAGACATAACTAGCTCATAAAACTTAATAAAACGTGGATCTTGTATGATCGATCGGTGGATCGATAAAGATCAAACGAGTATGCCTTAACGTATAAAAGAAAGACCCCATTTAAAATAGCAAGACGAGAACTTAAAAATTCGTATCCTGTTATACGAGAACAATAATATTATATAGGCCTATATATAATACTGTAATTTCATTCTATAGAAAATGAACTTTGTTTTCATTAGTTTGAGTTGTAAGAAAGATTTAAAATAAGTTACCTCTACAATACAAAAATCACGTGTAATTTATTATAGTTTAATTATAATTACAATTAAATTCTTCCCCCCCAGCTTTCGGGAAAATGCACGAAGCGAAAAGAATACTTAATTGTGTAATGAGAAAAATAATTTAATGTAAATGAATAAAAGGAAAAAAAAAAGAAAAAAAAAAATCATTAATTATTGTTAAGACCTTTAAAGTCGCTCCGGGAAATAAAAGGTTAATTAAACACGTTTAGATGATTTAAAATAAATTATATTTAAATTTTACAGTATAAATTATGGCCTAAATAAGTAAACATTTCCCATTTTCCTTACTCTATAAATCAGAAGTAAAAACAAAAAAAAATTACAGTAAAACCTGTATAAGACGGCCAGTGACGGGAGCGTAAAAATGGACGTCGTTTTAGAGGTTATTTTGCATGAACTTTTGCCAAAAAGGTGGTCGCTATTTAGAGGTTCCGTTGTGTTAAGTTTAATCATATAAATGAGAATTGTACTCGAAGTGAACCTCCAATAACGGACAACCACCTTTAAAATAATAATTAAAATAAGAAGTAAATTATAAATTTAAAAAACCAATTAAAAATTATAATTATACACAATAAATCACAATAAATAAAATAAATAAACTCAAATACATAATTACAATTATCTAATCTTATTAATTAATTGTCATCATTATTAATTCATATTAATTATTTTACAATTAATTAAAGAATAATTCAATTATGCATATAACAATTATTAAATAATAATGATGATATTTATGTTTAACCATTAATAAACTTAGAAGATAATTGCAATTAAGTATGAAATATATTTAACTTCATTACCTCAAATATTGATGACAATTGATTTATTGTTTAAGTCTAGAGCAAATTGTTATTAAATTCAAGTATTGTTACAATATTTTTCAGTTAATAACCTTTTAAATTCTTTAAATAAATCATCACACAAGTGAAATTTATAGCAATATTTAAGTGGAAGAAACTCCCATTATTGAACACCAAATGAACAATACATCTCAATATTTAATATTAAAACAATTGTTATGGAATAAAAAGGATTTATGTGGCATTATTTTGAGTTAATAATCTTTAAATTTTCACCACAAAAAGCATATTAATCTCCTAACCAATGGAAGAAATTAAAATACAATATAATGGAAATAACACTGATTCATCAAGGCAAAACTAATTCCTTGCTCTAATAATTCCAAATAATTTAAAAAAGAAAATAACTTAAAATATGGATATTATTAACAATAACAACTTCCTCATTTAATTATCTTTTAAAAGAAAAAAAAAAAAAGAATCATAAAAGATTCTGTTATATTTATAGAATGTGCAATGATATTTTTCCAGGTTATTTCCTGCCTGTTAAAAAGCAAGTTATTTGAAATTTGCGGTAAAGCCAGGCAATATATGGCGTCAGTTAGACTGCTGTCATTTCTGGAGCGTTATTTGAGGCCTGCGAGGTATAGATTTGCATGGATATAAGTCAGACAAACGGACATACTGTCTGTATACGGTATATTTGACACTTTTATTAAATAACTATGATGTTTTAACAATTAATTCCTTTAAAAATATATTCTGCCTCTATCCTTCTTGCGTTTTCCTCAATAGTTAATTAATTAATTAATATTTAATCAAATACAGTAGTTATTAAGGTAAGTTACAATGGAATCAAATTAAAAATCGTTAGACCCGAAAATTTTTTTTAAAAATTCAATTAAAATGTTATATAAATAAAAAAATCAATTTAATTTATATAAAGAAAAGAAATAAATATAATAATAATAATATGAATAAGAATAATAATAAAAAAATATATTTATATGTGTAAAAAGAAATTTTAAAATGTTCTTCTTTTTCTTACCATTAAATTGGTAAGAATTATTAGAAAATCGGTTATTTAGCGGTGAGCTTCGGAAAATTCCGCTGACCAATCATTGGACGTCTTGCTTCGTGCGCCTGGTCATTGGCGATGACGTCAGAAACGAAACTGTTTTAATCTCGAAGCGCCGCCTTTGTCTGCCATATCCAGTTTTGACCTTTGGAAACGAGGTTTGGTTATTGTAAAATCGGTACTTTTCTGAATATCATTTTTAAATCATGGTCGGAAAGGATAACCGTACGCCTTTTGTAAGTATTATTTTTTACTCGTAAATTTTAAATTTTAAATATTAAAAAAATAATATTAAAATTATTTAAAATTTTCTAAAAATATTTATATAATTTATTTATTTAAAAAAAATAAAAATAAAAAAAAAAACGGAAAACAATTATACCGGCTCGTACTATTGTTCTTGTGTTTAATCTACTGAAATTTGAAATTTCCACGTATTATAACGTAGAATGACGTAAAATATCGATTTTTAATTGATTTCGAACGTCTTTACGTACAAATTTCCTTTAAAAAAAACGTAAAAATCGATATTAATGAGTCATGGATGACAATTAAAAATTTAACAAAGAAGACAATTTTCAAACAAAGAAATTTTCTCTGGAAAATTTCGCTAGAAATAAAGAAATTTCTACATAAACCAGCGCTTTCTCTATATTATTAAATATAATAAAAACCAGGAGTTAAATAAGTACGAAAAATATTTTGTATATGTATACGCACCCCACTCAAAGGATAACGAAGATAATAACGTGACAGATTTAAAAATAACAGCAGATTTTCCTGCTCGAGTTAACGGTAATATTAGCGATTCGCGTGGATACAAGTCATACAGGTTATATAAAAGAGAGATTTATGTCTTACACTCCTTCCCAATTTCCGAAAATCGTTAAGATTTAATTTTCGGGGATGGAAATTTTTTCCTTAAATCGAATCAAAAACCAACATATAAGTATAATTAGCTCTGGCATGCGAATATATGTTGAATTTACCTTATTTATTAACTGATTTTTAAAGTAAATCGAGTAAAATAGTCATCCCCGGCTAACGGTCACGCTACACATTACAGTACCGGCGTTGACTAACGATCGATATATATATACGATCTGTTCGATCAGATTGACTTCTAGTGATCGTTTGATTAATTATTTATCCCCGTCACACTATCGTAGACGATTTAAATTTTATGTAACGTCACGAACACGGCTAATTCTTCAACCTAGGCCTACATAAAGCGATATGTTTCGGGCTTAAAAAACCTGTTTTTAAGTCATTAACCTTTTTCTGTAAGTCGGAGGATAAATTGTAAATAAGTTTAAAAATTTAATATTAAAATATAAATCGTAAATAATTAGCAAAAAAAAAATAAATAAAATAATAAGTGTCGCGCTAACTGCAATTTACGAAAGAACGAGGAAATTTTTAACGAGGAAAAAAAATGTTATACTCCACAGAACAAATATAATTAAAATTTATATTTCCGTCTGATTAAATACTTTTTTTTTTTAAATAAAATATTTTAAAGTAGACGTTTTAATTTAAATATTTAAATTAGGAAAAAGTTTATGCAAATTAGACAGGCGAAAACACGTAAATTTTGCGAGTTTTCGCCGCTCAAATTTAATTAAAAATCGCACTTTCCGATATATAAATGAAATTTCCGGGGGGAAAAAATCAATATCGTATTATAATTTGGGGGAAGAAAAGGCAATATTTCTTAGAATAAGCTTCAAGGTTGTAGAATAGGATTCGTGAAAATGTGGTATATCGAACTACACACGTTCGCTGATGAGAAGAGGAAGCGCACGGTATGATTACTTTGCTATTTTTAAATTGAAATTTAGTTTTAAAAATAAATCGGAATAAAATAACAAGAAAAAAAAAGTGCTTCCATCATTCGAAAAATGAATTTTAATTAAAACACGTGAATATTCCCGGCGCGTTCTATTTTCCACGTGTTTTTTTTTTTTAAAAAAATACTCAATTACACTAAAATGCTAGCTTGTCTTCTAGAATATAAAGATATTTACTTAATTTAAACGTAATAAAAAATATATTATAATGACGTAAAGCATGTGTTAATACACAAAATAATTTAATTATGGAGTCGAAATTCTTTCCCCAGTTTTCATTTTAATTTTAGTTTATTTCCCAGAATTTATGTCCATAATACATTTATAGCCTTCAAGGTTAATTGTTTCATTTTTTTCCTGTTTAAATAGCATTATTTTTCCTAATAATTGCTCAATTATTGAAATAGTTTCTCTTGGTAATTATAATAATCTGATTATGCATTTGTAAGGTCAACAATGGAATGGTTTAAAGTAATCCAGCACTATCATTATTGAAATAAAAATTACTTATAATAAAGGAAATTAAACATTTTAATATAAGTTAAATTACATTTTATTTTATTAAAAAAAGTATATGAATTTGACTAAATATTGTTTATTTTAATTAAAAACAGTCTAGACATCATATAAAAGATAAAAACTCCAATGATCCTATGGATGATAGAAGTCTCTTGCCGAAATTAGAGCCTTCTAAAGGTTGCACTAATCAGGTATCGATCCCTCTTCCTCTCCCCGACGACACTCAGTCCACCTCCAGCGAAGGAAGCAGCCGAAATGGAGAAAACTATGAACGGGGAAATTGGGGGAAACAATTAGACTTCTTCCTTTCTTGCGTAGGCTATGCCGTCGGATTGGGAAATGTTTGGAGATTTCCTTATCTTTGTTATCGAAGCGGAGGAGGTAATTTTTTTTCTTAAATATTTTTTTCAAATTAAATTGAACGTGTAACTTATGTATAAATTTTTAATTCCAGGAGCATTTTTAGTTCCCTATATCCTATTCTTGGTTATCTGTGGGATGCCTTTGTTCTTCCTTGAATTGAGCTTTGGCCAATTTGCCAGTTTAGGCCCTGTAGCAATATGGAAAATATCACCATTATTTAAAGGTAAAAGCATTAAAAAATAATCATATATTTTTATTACAAAACAGTAATTGAAATTTAAGGATAAACTAAGTTTTGTTTTGCTTATAGGTTTAGGCTATGGTATGGTGATAATATCTGGAATAGTGTGTATTTATTACAATGTCATTATTGCCTGGACTCTATACTACATCTATCAGTCATTGACATCTCTTTTGCCATGGTCTACTTGTAATAATTGGTGGAATACACCAAATTGTGTCGATCGTCATTACGATCCAACCGCGTCGTTAAATAGCACCGGAATTACGAATAGTTCCGTACTGATTAATGGTACCGTCGCGGCTAATGAGACGATTAAGAATTTCGAAGTCAATAATGATAGAATAACATCTAGCGAAGAATTTTGGGTGTAAGTTTGATAAATCTTACAAAAAATAATTGTTTATGTGAACGAAAAGTAATCAATCAATTATTTTTGCAGAAAGTATGTTTTACGACTGACATCTGGTATACATGATTTAGGAGAAGTCCAATGGCCATTGGTGCTTACTCTTTTTATTGCTTGGGTAGTTGTTTTTCTATGTCTAATGAAAGGAGTCAAATCATCGGGAAAGGTTTGTATTGATTTAAACATAGTTTTTAGTATTTTATAATAATAAAGACAATATAAAATTGTAAAACTTATATAATTTAGGGCCATAATTTTGTTTTCATTTTTCACAAATAACATATTGTATATAATTGAGTTTTCTGCTTTTACTTGAATGTAAGATGCACTTTTTTCAGGCTTTACTATCTCTGAAAATAAGATGATTCTTGCATTTGATGTAATGTGTCCCTAATTAGTAACTTCAAGTGTCATGTCTTATTTCTGTCACAAGTTTTATTATATCATTTCAATGATTTTATTAGACCAACATTAGTAGTAGAAATTATTTAAGAGGTTAGCTTAGCTCAAGTCTTTTCAGTCTATTATAGTAAGTAATGTTGTAAGTACTTGGATGAAAATTTCACAAAATGTTGTGTGGCACTGAGTAATTCTGTATCTTCAATGCTTTAAATGGCACTTTTGTTTTACTTTATTAAAACAAAAACTAAAGTTACATGTATATAACATTCCTAAGTATTAGTTTTTCTTCTGACTAAAACTATGTTAGTGTTAATTCATAAGACTTAACGTGGCAAATGAAAAGGTTTCCCGATTCTGATACTATATAATAATGATATATAAGTAACTTTACTTCAATAAATACTGTTATACTGACATAAATTTGACTGCATTTCTGTAGGTGAGCATGTAGAAGTTAAGCTGTCTTAGATTCAAATAAATTTGGAACTTACAAGAATAATCTTTTTTTCAAAAAGTTCCAAAAATGTATAATCTGAAGATGGCCGAATGGCCTGGCAGTTAAGGTGGCAGCCTTGTGCTCTGGAGGACTTGCAGATGGGTCAAAAACACAGATGATCTGTTTAGATATGCCAGGACCTGATTGTTGCTACTGCTCCATTGAGCCTGGCTAAACCAATGCTAAGAAGGTTCTCTTAGTGTCCAGAGTCAGAGATGTGTTATAGCTTCATGGAATCCAGGAAAATTTGAATTAAAGGGGCCCATGTACAATAATGACTTCAGTTTTCTTTGGGGGAATTTTTTGAGGAAAAGTTTTCTAATAAAAGATTGCTTTAGGGGTGCTGGGCAATTTCCCGTAGGATATTGTGCCACTACATAGAGTAGAAAAAGTTAAAAAAAAAAAAAAAATCTTAAGATGACCTATAAAACAGTTAAATTTGTAATTTCTATGTTCATTTAACATGTTTTTCCAATGAGATAATATTTTTACTCTCTTCTACTTCATATCAATAGTTTACTATTTAAAAATTAAAACAATAAATATTAAAAACATTTAATGCATAATTATTTACATAAAATACATATACAATTCTCAATAATTAAAATAGAATAAAATTTTGACAGGTGGTTTATGTATCTGCTACATTCCCTTACATTGTGTTAGTAATTCTTCTTATTCGTGGAGTCACTTTACCAGGAGCTTGGAAAGGAATTGTGTTTTATTTAACTCCTCGTTGGGAGCTTCTGATGTCTTTCAAGGTTCGGTATACGTTAACATCTCGCAACAATTTTGTTTTTAAATTTTATGTAAAATAACATGTCATTAATATTTCCATTACAGGTCTGGGGCGATGCTGCTACTCAAATATTTTATTCTGTAGGTGCAGCTTGGGGTGCAGTTTTAACAATGGCCAGCTACAATAGATTCAGTAATAATTGTTACAGGTAGGCAATTACTATTTAATATATTACCATCAATTTTGAAAAATTTATTAGAGATTTGTTTAATTTTGTATGTATAATCTATTCACAAGATGTTAAATAAATAATTTTTCTTTCAGAGATTCTCTGCTTATTCCAATCATTAACTGTTCTACCAGCATCTTTGCTGGATTGGTAGTATTTTCTATTATTGGATATATGTCATATGAAACCGGTAAACCAATTGAAGAAGTAGTCTCTCAAGGTATATTGCATTCTTAGACTAGACTTATATCACCAATTTAAAAGTTTTTTATTGCTAAAAACTGATTTTTTTTTATTTTGTAGGCCCAGGATTGGCTTTTGTGGTGTATCCAGAGGCAGTCTCAAGATTGCCTTTGTCACCACTATGGGCCTTACTCTTCTTTTTCATGCTCTTTACAATTGGTTTAGATAGTCAGGTAACTGTTTATTTAATAATTTATTTAGTTTTAATCTATTATGTATGCTTTCTGTTTTAAGGCTATGTTTTCTTTTCCCAATGAAACACTTCACTTCGATAGGAGTAATTAAATTTGTCAAAAAGAAACTTTTCTTGCCAGTTATTAATTCGAATAATGTTTTTAATTTTAATTAAATCACGTTTTAAATTTGTTTTTTTTTTTAATATAGGTATTCAGCTCTAATGGAGAAACATAGCATTCTGAAATTGATCAGTGCTTTAATTCTCATGCAGTTATTTACAATCATATTGTAAACACAAAGGCCCTAGTGATACAGCCAGATTGACCAGATTTAAATTTCTTTAACAGTAAAATGCTTTTAAATTAATTAATTATTAATTAAATAATTTTAATAAAAATCAATGATTATTCATTTTTAAAAAAATTTTTCATCTGGCTATATCACAATTCATTGAAATTTTTAAATAGTTGATAGGGTATGTCCAATTATTTAATGCAACACCAATTCCTGCTGTTATTTTATTATACCTTTTTGAATATTAAATTTTAATTATTTGTAATTATCAAAAAACAGTGTGCGAGGATGTATAAGGTGTGCTGTCTTTCCCTGATGTTATGTTGCGGCGTTGCGTGCAATTTGCTAGATTTTAATTTAGCTAGATTGTATCGATTATTTAAAATTGAAATATATAATTATTTATTAAAGATTTTTCATTTGCACACCTGCATGTAAATCACGTAGACTCTCTGCTAATTTTTTGATTTTATTTCGGTTACAATTTGCACAAATCGTTAGATTGTTTTGCAAGCTTCCCCATGCTGTGGCCTTGTGCTTTCTGCCTACACTGCAGCTGAAAAATGAATGAATGGCTTACCGTAATCTGTGTGGTGTAGGTTTTGCATGAGAAAATTTGGAGGTGTAGGCTGAGAGGGGGCTAATGCTGGGAGTTTGCAGCAAAAGGAATGGATGTTGCAACAATTAAATGGGGCCGTCAGCATATTGAGAGTTTAGTCTAATTAATTCCAGATGTTTTATGTTGACTATTAGAGTTATTCTGATTTAAATGATTTTATTTTGTGAAGTGTATCACGGAGAAAACTAGTCTGTAATTTTAAAATAAATCAAGGGCCACACTCTCTCTAATCGATTTTTATTTTACAAATTTAAAATAAATTTAAATGATAACAAATGAGATTTTTCTTAAAAGTATTCAAAATCCATGTTTTTTTTTCTAAAATTTAATGTGTGGCCCTTCCGTGTTTTGGTTGATGCAATTCGCCGATCCAAAAAGAATTAAACAATTCTTCTTTTATTTGAAATTTGGATTAATTTAAAGGAGAATCAAATGAAATTCTGGAAAAATTTTTAAAAATTCAAAAAAAAAAAACTTATTTAAAAACCTAAAATTTCATCAACCAATTCTCTTGTTCACTTTTAAGGCAGAAAATTTATATTTTCTTCAAAAATATAATAAAAAAAATCAAAATTCTGATATCAAAAACGGGATTAAAAAATATACTTTGTTAATTTTGCCGTAAATAACAATCCAAAACTATACGAAATATTGCAAAGTAATATTAGAACTTGACAGTTTAAATATTTTAGCAATATATTTTAAAATTCTGCCTTAATCTTAAGCAAGAAAACTGTTTGTCCTGTTTTGTGTGTGTTACTCCCAATAATTTTATTAGCATTACGTCAAGAAATTTCTGGAGTGTTGATTTTGAAGCGAATAAAATCCACCCGTAATTTTTATTTTCTCGTAAACGTTTTTCCTTAAATGCTGTCTCTATTTTAATTTAGAGACACCATACGTATCGACTGGAACCTTTATACAAGTTTGTTATTCTTGACGTTTTGCTGATACTTCTTTGTCCTGTTGTTAAAATGAATGATCTGGTTTTTGCTTTCCAGCAGCTTTTGACCTTCCAAAGAAGATATGAAATAACTGTGTTTTCCAGTTCCTATAATAGACCAAAATTATACATAAAAAAAAAATTTTTTTTTACATATTTAATAAAGCTCTAAAAGCCTCGATTTGTAATTTGAAATTTTGAAATCCATGCTATTATAGCAGACAGGAAAGCACAGTATGTGATGGACGGGTCATAGTACTAACTGGTGCAGAGTTGCCATCGCTGATTCTGCTGCTTCAGTACAAGAGGTACCTCTTAGATTTTAGACTTTCATTCACAGAGGGATTTGTAATTAAAAAAAATAAAAAATCAACACGTGGGGCAGCCTTTATCGGAAATATTACTAACTGTGTCAGGAAGACAACGTTGGTCGGAGATATTAACTCTTTGCATGAAGAGCGTATGTCAAGACTGTTTCTTTATTGCTTCTGGCAATTATCATACTCAGAGATGCAATTGGAGGAAAGTGAGAGGGAGTTATTAATTTGGAATAAAAAAACGTCTCGTATTGCCGCCGATACGAAGGAAAGGTTGAGCTTACTGGTAACCTAAAGAATTATGATAAAGTTACATCCGATTAGTAATGCTCGTAGCGAGGTTTGGAGAGGTGCGTCCTCGCTTTAACGACAGACGGAAAGTTTCTTTGAAGAGTCGGAGTGGTCGTCCGTTAAATATGGCTTTTATTTTATTTTTAATAGCTGTATAAATGCAAAGAGTTAGTATAATCAAGGATCGAACCGAGAGAATTTTACAAGTTTTGCTTGACCTTTCTACGATATTTAAAACACAGTTCGTCGCGCTTAACATAATTTTTTTTGTATTTATAAATGTTTATAAATTTTTTAAAAATTTATATATATTCAAATCATTTTATATATTTATCAAATTTTTAATGTTATTTTCTTAGAACTAAGTATTGAAACAAGTGAAGTACACAGACTGCTATTTAAAATTTTAAATATCTAGTATAATTGTTTAAAAACTTGAACTAATTTTTTAAAATATTCAAAATTTTAAAGCTTTAAATATATTTAATTTTGCTTTAAAAATATAGATTTGCAGTCAAAACCTTTTCGAGACATCTCGCAGTAAAAAATGTGTACGAATATTTAATTTGCTGTAATAATTTGTTTTAATTGATGTACGTAATGATAATATTTTTATTTAATGGGATTATGATGACAAAAAATTGGGCAAGCAAATATTACAAGGGGTTAAATGTGTATTGTATTTTTAAACATTTTGTTAGTCAGGCCCTCTGTTGGTTGGGAGCGCCTGGAAGATCTGGGCGGCAGCAGCAGCATAGAAGGGAGCCTTCTACCACTAAAGCGTAACTTGTGTTAACCATCTTTTTATCTCAGTAGTTAAGTGTTGTCCACAAAATATTGGTATATTATTGCTTCGGAGTACCTAGCCTCGAGTAAAAGTAAAACTAAAAGAAGTGGAGAGCCGAAGTCTGTCTGGTGTGACTGGAGTAACAGGAGTGTGTATTCGCTTTATGTTGCATGAATGAGATATGCATATTTAAACAGACTTTCGGAGATCCCGTTTAAGATCTTAGCAAATTTGTTGCTATTTAAGTTTTTTTTTTGTTTTTCCCTATTAAAGTTCCGGTGCTTATTGTGCATCTTGATGTTCGGGCCGCTAGGTACACTAATGCATCCCGTGTTTTAAAGCACACTGAGGTTGATCATTGGTTATTAAGTTTAATAATTCCAACGTTTTTTTGCTTTCTTGTAAATGTATAAATGATTTACATTTATTTTTTAATTGAAATTTATAAGATCTTGACAAAAAATAAAACAAAAAGAGAGAGAGAGAACTTTAGTTACCAATGGTCACTTCATTCAATATATATTTATAAAAATATATTTTAAATTTTCTTTAAATGCCGTGCACTGAGTATTTTTTTAAAGTTTTAAATTAAAGTTTTTAAAAGTATTTTTTCACTTTTTAAAAAATGTTTTAAGATGCTTTTTTATATAAAATAAAATTTTAAAAAAATTGTTTCAAAATCAATTTGTTACTTTTTATATATATATACCAGACGTCACTTTTTCTCTTAAGAGAAATAAAAATGTCTTTGAGAAAATATGTTAATTATTATTATTATTTTTGTATTTTTCTATAGTTTGGGATGTTTGAAGCCACTATTAGTGCCTTTGTCGATGAATTTGTTGTTTTAAAAAAGAGGAAAGTTTTATTTACTGCCATTATGTGCATCGTTCTTTTTGTCCTTGGCTTGCCATGTGTTACAGGAGTAAGTATTAGTGCATTTTTGAAATAATTAAAAGCATTAGTATGATATTTTCTCTTTTATTCCATCATTAATCATTGCTTTCCTTAATTAAAACTGGAGAAATAGTGAAAAATTGGTACATTCCGGTATGCATCAGTGAACCACGATGTACTAAAATGTGTTCCTATATTCACTAAGTTCCTTAGTGTGGCGACCAATCACTGGAATGTACCCGGTATAATCAGACAATTATTTATAAATGTTATGCATTGATGATATCTTCAAAAACAAATATTTAATATTAACAGATTTTCTACTTTATCAATATTTTAACATTAGCTTTTTGTAATTCATTCAAGCTGGAAAAAAATAAATCTTTTATTTCTTTCAGGGTGGAATGTATGTACTTCAATTGATGGATTGGTACAGTGCTACATACGCTTTAATGATCATTTCATTACTTGAAACAGTTGTTATTGGATGGATTTATGGTAAAATTTCATTTACATTCATTCATAATGCATGGTTTGCCATATTTTATCATAACCTAAGCTTATTTTTTTTAATGATAAACCGAAAGTTGAACATATTCCACATTACAGACGTGTTCTTTAATTTCGAATGTTTCCTTTTAAAATTTTAATATCCAAATTTAAAAACCCCAAAGTGTTTGGCATTTGTTTTTCATTTGAAAGATGCAGGCTTTTTTACTGAATATCTAATGTACTTTACAGTATAATACACAATAGCTGGTATTATGCAGGCTAAATTCTCATAAAATATTCTTTTTATAGTAATGAATAAATTTAAAATTAATTCTGTAACAATACAGATGCACAATAAACTAATGATTTTTAATATTTTTAACCGAATAGGTGCAGATCGTTTCATGCAGGACATCGCTCTAATGGTTAACCGTGTTCCTCCTTTATGGTGGAAACTCTGTTGGTGCTTTATAACTCCTTGTGCAATTCTGGTATATAAAAAAAAATTTTTTTTATAGCTAATTAGAGATTTACATTTTAATAGCATTGCTAAATTTAAAAATTTTGTGTTTTGAATTATAGGGTTTACTTATCTTCATTGTAATCAACCACTCACCGGTTACATACAATGATTATGAATATCCCGATTGGTCAATTGCTTTGGGATGGATGATGGCTGTTCTTCCTCTGATTCCCATTCCATTATTTGCTGGTATCCAGATTTACAAATCTAAAGGATCTCTGTCTCAGGTATTTATAAATAATAATGACTTTTATGCAATTCATAACTTTATTATGAATTACATTTAATATTTATTTATCTCTACAGAGAATTTTGGTTAATTTGCGCCCGTCACCTGAATGGGGACCGGCCACCGAAGAAAACCGTCTCTTATACAAGAAGAGTCTGAGTATCGTCTCTAGTAACTTTCGTCAGACACACGTCGCCGGTTTAAGTCACAGCGAAAGTCAGGTATCTTGCGGGAAAGTTTCTATGAATACGGCAGATGCTCTTCCGGCTCCAAGCGACGATATTCCTTTACAATCCGAAAGTGTAGTATAATTAAGAACATAGTCACGAGCGGATAGACTGACTATAAAACATAGGGGAAGCAGGAAGAGAAGTTGGCAGGACAAATAATCTGCAGCAAGTACCCACGTCTGTCGGGAGCTCTTCGCCACAATGCCCGGAGCATAAATTACTAGCTGTCTGGAGACTCCCGTGGCGATCGACGATGCGGCGAAAAGAATCGCACGGTACGACGCAGTTTAAAGATCTCATACAGACTTTCAGTATTCTAAATTAAAAAACTGCAAGACATGTTGCACATTCCCGATAATTATACAGAATGCTTTTATTGAAGGAAGGAAAGAAGAAAGCTGTGATAAAACATCAATCATAGTCGTCCATAACAAAAATAGAAATTGTAAATACTGGTCATTTGTATACTGTTTTTTCTTTTTGTTTCGTGCATTTTCTCTCTTGTTTATTTTTTTTATATACACCATATCAAAACTTGTAGTGTATAAATATTAATTTTTGTAACTTGCAAAATGTTGGGCCAAGTGTTCTTTTTCAAAAACATTCCTCTTCATTGCTTGTTTTATAGTATTATGATATTCAAATTATGGCTATTAGTGAAACAACTTTGATGGGATTTTATCAATCATGCATCCTAGGTGGAATATAGACAATCAATAGATTGGTAGGGTTTCTGAATGAAACAGTATTATAGATTTTATAAGTACTGTAACATTGATTTTGTAGTAAAATTGGCTAAAAGTGAATTTGTAATAATAAAAAAATTTGTACTGAATTTTTTATTTAAAACAAATTCATGAAGATGAGACACACAATTTGTGATTTCTTTTTTTAAGTATTTGTTCTGCATAATAAAATTTTGTCTTAAGATAGTCTACTTTGGTCGTGTTTTCGTAATTTTCTACAAAATTTGTTAATAAAAAATATATTAAAATCAAATTTTTGGTATAGTCTGTAGAAGTTCAATATAAATTTAAAGTACACAATTAACATACATTTTGAATATAAATAGAAAAGTTCTGCTTGTCTGTCAAAGTATTGATTTGCTAAGGTGAAAATCCAAGTTTGATCTCCAGAGTCCTGTTGTAAATAATGCTAACTACTATACAAGTTTTACAAATTACAAGAATAAAAAGCTTTGTAATAAGTTATAATACTTGTAATTTTTATACAACAGGGCCAGGTGTATCCTACTTTTCATCTCTGGCTGCAATATTTACATACAGGATCATAGGGAGTGAAGAATGATTACCTTATCTTCTAATCTCTCTTTCTATACGAATATTAATTCAAATTATGACTATTTGTGCAAGATAATTGCAAATGGTTTCTATATTCCGGAGAATTTTTGGCGCTCGTTGAGAGCGTATTATCACGTGTTTTGATGATTTGCATACGGAGACATTTTCTTCTAGTAGACCACGTGGATGCTAGTTAGCTGCATGATTAAATGGTACATCGAACAATCCTAAAATTGAAATGCCATACAGCATCCGAGAGGTGGAAGAAGGGGAATGTCTCATCTTTCCTGTTATTCGATACAAGTTTAAATGGTAAGTTGAGTCTTATAACAATAGCTAGAAATACGTGGATTGCGGATAATGGACGATTTTGATGTTTGGTGTGTTACGAAAACTTGTAGAAATTGATGTGCAGAATAAGCAGGGGTAACAAATGTAATTAGTAATGTGAAGTAATCTGTATTATCCGGTTTCGTTTGTTAAGATTAATATGGATGGCAAGCGAAAGACAGTCGAATTTACTGTACACCCAACACTTTTTTTTACAAGGAAGATACGTTTCTCAAAAACCGTGCAAAAAAAGATGCATTTCGTATAGTAAAATAGAAGATACACTTTATTTTAATAACTAGAAACGTAAGATGAAATAAATTACACTGTGTTTTGAATGAGAAATAGTTAAGAAATGACGAAAATTTTCTTCCCTTATGTTTCGTCAGCGTTGAAAATCTGGTCGGGAACACGGCCACCCCCTCTTGTTATTTTGGCTAGTTTTTCTGGAAAGCTCTTGGCAGATTTTCATTTGCAGATGTAATTTCCCATTAATTTATATTTCCATCCACAGGTACCCTCTTTGGTACCACATCATCAGTTTTATTTTTGTAATTTTGTCTTCTAAATGGGCACATTGTTTACAAGTTAGTAAAAGGCTGACTAGGAAAACCAATGACGTGGCCTGTTTTTAATGAAACAGTTGATGTAATCGGTTTGCTTTACTAGGCAGCGCTCCCACCATTTTGTATTCAATTTAAATTAAATATACACTTAAATAATAAAAGAAGTTGGTTAATCCGGCAACCGATAATTGCCCGATAAGTTTGGTATACTTATATGTAGCGCCGTAACTAGCCTTTTATGCGCCCGGTGCGCCGGGCCTGCTTTTATGTGCCTGGGCACCGCCCTAGTTATGGCACTGTTCATACTTATTATTCCGCGAATCACAATTTATTTGTGAATACGTATGGTGCACGCGAGCGTTAAAGACTCCAGTTATACACTTTCTGTAGAAAACTGGCCCATGTTTATCGTACACTCAGTTTCATTTAATAATTTAATTAATGTATTGGTTTGCTTGTATAGCCGCTTGCCAACTAGAAGCATCCCACATCTTCATAGGATATTTTTGATAGATGTTTATATTCTTTTGGGTGCTGAGGTACTTTTCTTTCTAGGCCCTCTGTGGGTTTGGCTACGTCCACAATGGGGTGGTGAGGGATGGAACCACTGAGTATCCGGAACATACCATCGTATTCTGGGATTTGATTCCGGGTCCTCCAGAGCGATAGATGAACCTTTAACCGCTTCGTTTCTCCATTAAAAACGTGTAGTAATGACCTCAGATTGACGCAAAAGTTTACAAAACGATCACACTAGAAACAGAAGCATCACGTGTTCATGCACGTTTGTTACGACTTAATAAAGGAATGAATAATACTGTCAATGAAATCACCCGAATAGCCAGTCATTCCCATTTGTTCACTGTGTTGGGCGTTGACGTGATAGGAATAAACAGGAATTAATCCATTCATTGTTTTACACATTTATGATTTAAAATTCTATTATAAATACGGGAAGTACTTTGATCGAGTTTTTAAATTTTAAAACAATTCTATAAGACAGGATAGCCTTTATATCGATCAAATACCGTGCTGAGTAAGCAGTGCAACGTCGTTCATTTACAATGAAATATTTGTGGAAGCAAATAGGCTTATTCAGCAAATAATCTGTTTGCTAATTTTACTGACACGAGAGTCAGCAATAATTTCTATATTTTTGTTAAGTCATCGAGGTGAATGACCCGCTTTCTGAATGAAGCGTAACCAAACTTCCATGTAGTAACTCGAAAATAAGTTAATTTTACAATGGTAGAGTAGAAGTTCGATAATCCGGCTCTAAGGGATTAGAGTACTGCCACTTCCGATAATCCGCTCCTTTTTAATATTTTCGACAGGTTATATGCGATCCGTACATAGTACACACTACAGCACAGTTTCTACTACCTAACGCTGCTTTGCACCCTTCCAATGTGTTTACCCACATTATTTAGAGGATGCTGCAGCAACATCTCCTCTATGCCAAAGCAATCAGAAAGATTAGGTAACTAAAAGTAAATTGAATGGCATTGTCTGAAAAACAGCGGGTAAGATCCTTGGTTTATCCCGAATCTTGTAGATTCCTCTTATCCTTAGAGCAAATGCCACCAGAACTGTAAAACATGTGACAATTTCTTCCACGTTTCGAGTATTTATAGAACACGCACATAATCAATATGTAATCATAACCATATTTATTTAACTAATTTAAAAGGAAATTATAGCGGGTTTGAATTAACCATATTCAATTGTGCTTAAAGTACAGGATGAGTCAAGAAAGGTGGCTATACGTTTGACGTTGGTTTTACAGGAAACCCACGAGTGGCACTTGAAAACGAAATGTTAAATATAGCCCATAGACAGACAGACAGACATAACAGAGAAGTGTCAGCACACCAATTCTTGAGGTTTTCATCAACTCTCACCACCTATTTCAGGATCAATTGCGGTTTAAAATATTCACTCCCAATCCAGGAAATGGACTTAAATTGTATCCATACAATTACGACTTAACTGGAGATCAGTAGTCAATAATATTTTCTGATTACGCTTGGCTCGGCCTTCAGAGTAATCCTCTACGCACTCCAAAATGTAGAAAAATTGGAATCTGTTATAATCTTTCAAACACTATGCATTAAGTCATCATATAGTGGTCCTTGTTGTGGTGTTCAACTTTTTTCTAACAGAAGCACCACCAACTTGGTAGTTTTTTCTTCTTGCAGAACTATCGCCTCATCAATATAGGGTGATTGCACTTTTGTAATATGTGTATAGTCTTGATTAGTGATGTAACACCGTATTTCGGGGCATCGTGGTCGAGAACCACTGGCTTAATGGTTTGGAAAGGGACTACACTCATTAAAACTAAGAATAGTGGAATTGATTGCCTACTTAGCTGCATCTTTTACTTTTACCAATCCGATTTAAATGAAATATTAAACTAACTTTTAATAAGAATAAATAATGGTAATAGTTAAAATTTGCAGTCAGACTGGTGAATTAACAATTAGAACTTCACAATACAACATTGAATCCTCAAACTGATAACTTGAAAGTGGTCATAGTAAAAAGATTTCTTTTAGAGAGGTGACATTTAAAAGAAAATGCATATACAGTCGACCCCCTATAACACTGTTGATTTTTCCGTTTTATATGAATTCCATGTTGTACGAGTCATTTAAATTTTACAAATACGTGAGCCATTCACAGTCCGGCACACGTATTTGTAAAATATAAGTGACTCGTACAACATGGAATTCATATAAAACGGAAAAATCAACAGTGTTATAGGAGGGTCGACTGGTACAGGTATTATATTTAATTTGTCTTTTGTGAAGATGCCACAACCGTAGATTTAATCTGCAATTGAAAAACTGGAGAAATTCCAAGAGGTAAATAACTTTGCTATAAAACTTTTACCTACGTTGAAAAATAACGATCGATACTCTATCATACTCCTCACCATTACCTCATTTCTATAAAATAAAGATTACAGCAACTTGCAATTATTATAAATATTTTTATTTGCATTAAAGCTAAGCCTTGTTACAGGGGGTATATTTTTACAGTAATTTATTAAAATACATTTGTTATCTAAAAATCATTCAATATACACTTTCTTCAAGATCATCAATAACATTACAATAATCATTTAGTAGTACATTTTTGTGATTAGTTTAAGTAATATAATTAATGAACAATATTTTAATTCTATTAATTTATCACATATTGTTTAGTTCTTTGGAGATTTGATTAAAAAATCCATTAATTTTATATATTTGGTATAACATAAGATTGTTTAATTTAGTTCTTTTTATAAGTAGACCCTCCTATAACACTGTTGATAATTCCGTGTTATATGAATTCCATGTTGCACGAGTCACTTAGATTTTACAAATATGTGTGCCGAGTTGTGAACGGCTCACGTATTTATAAAATCTAAGTGACTCGTGCAATATAAAATTCATATAACACGGAATTATCAACAGTTATAACACGGAATTATCAACAGTGTTATAGGGAAGTCTACTGTGTTCATATTTTTCTTGTTTTGGAAGTTTAACATTAATTCTAAATATGATTATTTTGGATTTAGAGATATTGATATAATTATCCGAAATGCATACTCAAATAAATAGAAAGTCTTTCTAAAGTTTGTCCTCTGTTTCATTGATGGTGTAATAAGTCCAGCGGAAAAGAAAAAGCCATCTTAGCGCTCGTATATTTGAACATAAGACTAGACAAGAAGCACATTGCATAAGTAAATTTGTATTACTGATATTAAGAAGAATAAGGCCATTTCTGTTCCTATTTTAATTTTATAAAAGTAAATTGAAATTTTGAGTTCAAGTTAAGTTCCTCAGTCCATCAGTAGTCCAGTATAGAAGTAAAGCATTTTCGTAATGTTGGTAATAACGCTATAAGTCGATAATTTCCAGGATCTTTTCTGTCTCCTTTTTATATAGATCATTAACAGTTTTACTGTATTCCAAGTTTCCGGAAAGTTTGCTGAATTGTAGACTAAATTGAATAGTTCAAGCAATACTTGTTTTTCTGATGGTGGTAGTAATTTTAAGAATTTAACTGTAATATGATCGGATAGGTCGCAATTTAAAACTTGAATTTCTACACATAGGTCAGACAGCAATTCAGAACATATGGTAAGATCTACTACCGGATTAGCAACACAAGTAAATTCAGATGGATAGTCATTTTTTATTCTTCCGTTTAAAATTATTAATTGAGATTGTTGAGTATTTTTTATTAGTTGAAGGCCTAATCTGTTGTATTTTTTTATCTTTTTGATTCTCGGTTAAAGTGAATTAGATTATTTGGACCTTTATATTCTGAATCTATTATCTGTGCAATTCTGGAGTTAAAATCACCAAATAGCAATATATATGGAGAGATATTTTTCCATTTTTTGAGATTTTTAAAAATTTCATTTAATAAGTCTATTATGTAACATTCAAAATGAAGGAATATCAATCATTTCCATCCGAAGTTTGAAAATGTCAATAGAAAAATCATCAAAGAAGTTCTTATTGCTTCAATAGATAAATATTCAATGTCCCCAGATACATTCTAATACATAAAATATCACTTTTCAATTAAGTGTTTACGATAATATCAAGTGGCAATTTGGTCATTTTTCTCTCATCACGTGTGGTCGCATTTTTAATTTTTATACCATGGAGAAGATGGGAAAAGTAATAGAAATGATGCAATACATAAAACATGCCTTATGAGATTCAAATTATTACATGCAGAATATGCTCTCCAAAGTTCTCCAAATTTCTTAAAAACATGAAAGTAACTCGTTGAAAACTAACAGATATACAGGTATCTTGCATTTTACAAGTTTGCTTTATGTCACTTTTCACTACTTCAGTATAGTGATACCTCAGGAAACGAACGCCCCAGCATACGAAATTTTCAGGATACGACATGAAATTCGAACATATTTTTGCTCCACGATACGAACAAAAACTCATCATACGACGTTACATTAGTTCACAGTGCCATTTTTTATTCACTTCTGTTCATTGGTCTCAGTCCGTGTGTTTGCTTCGTCGCGGAAGGATTTTGCTCGATAAAGGAAATCTTGAGGTATTACCAGAAAGTGACTGATTTTATTGAAAAGAAACATCCCAAAAAGGTTCACACTAGCTGTATTGCTGCTCAGAGTAATGACATTTGCCTAAGTCATTTTAGAAATATTTTAAAAAGTAGGCAAAGGAAAACCTCTTTGGATAGATATTTTACCAAGAGACCTGTATCCAGTGAAAGTGCTGATGGAAGTGAAAGAAAAAAGCAGTGAATAAATGTTTTAAAAAATATATATAAAACAACACTAATTTTTTAATCTTTTCTGTTATTTTTAAGTTATTGTTACATTATGTTATGTAAGTTAAGTTTTAGTATCATTTCCCTTCTCCCTCACTTCCGCCACCAGTTTACACCTCCACCGTAGTCTATCCTGAAAGGTAAAGTGCAAATAAAACTATTTTTTTATCAATTATTATTCTATTATGGTTATTTATACATTTACAACTACAAAATGCATATTTCAGTGTTTTTCCTTACTATAGATTTTTTTTATGTACTACTTAGCTTTAATTTGAGCGTGTTTTTCGTGTTGAAACAAATTATTTGGTTTTACATGTAATCGTATGGGGAAAAATGATTCACCTTACGACATTTTCATGATACGATCCCAGTTTCAAAACGGATTAATTTCGTATCCTGAGGTACCACTGTACCTGTTTTAAATAACTGAAAAAAGTTTAAAGAGGATTTTTGCTTTAACGAAAATATCATTTAGTGTTTTGTTTTGTAGTGAGCTGTTTTAGATGCAGTGAGCGATGTCTTTGAGCTTCCTCCCAAGAACTGCATTTGGCATCGATCCACCGTGGCTTCAAACTGTGTCTGTGAGTATCTGTGCTTTGTCCATTTATTTTGTGCATCCATTAGAAAATTGTCCTAATGTGTTAAAAGCTTACACCTAGCATAAAACTTGATGCAATTAACTGGTTTGGGAGGGGAGAATGATAAAGACAGCACACAGATGTCAAACTCATCTGCATCTGATATCTGTACTACTTGCATGCAGAATCTTGAAAGCTGACAAAGTTTCTATTGGTTCTGCTACCAGCAAAGTTCTCTCTTTTAGTCAATATTCAGTAATGGATAAAATGGAAAGCATATTGGATATACTGGTGTACAAATATGGTTTTCTGTTTGGCCAATCTCTTATTAAGTAAATATAACTTGTCTATTCATTAAGCCAAAACAGAAAGAATGGATAACGGTGACGAAAGTATTGTAAAAGTGAAATTTAACGTTAGTCATGGACAATTTGATCGATTTTAGAGACAAGGGTACTTTCGTAGCTTAAAGGTTACTTTGTAAAACTATACTGTACTTACATTTCTCCTTTATATTATTCCTTCTTTTATTCTTGTTAGTATTAATTTAATTTTAGATCTGGAAATGTTCATATATGTTTCCCATGTAAATTAATGGTAATTGCTTCTTTGCTTTACACCATTTCAACTTAAAAAAGGTTTCGTAGGAACATTAAAGATTAATTTTTAATATTTCCGAAGAGACGGCTGAGGGCATTAAGACGTCGGGCTACTGCTCCGGAGAACCGAAATCAAATCTGGGTGAGCAACTCTCTCAGAATTTCTTGTGGATGGTCTATCTCTCACAACCTGGCATAATTAAAAAGGCCCTCCTAGCACCGAAGGATCAAGAGAGAGAAATAAAAAGTTTTTAAATGAACATAAAAGTTAAATTTCAGATAAAGTAATCATATTCTGTCCTGTAGACACTAAGGTTTATTTTGAAGCCCAAGACTAATCATGAAAATTTCCTGAGGTTCTCAATCTGGTGCCTAGTTTAGAGTTACTGTATGTGAGTGGCAACAAAAATATGTTGGGAGAGTCGCACGTAGGGATGTCCCAATACCACAAAACTATTGATAACAGTATCATGAATAGTTTTGAAGTTGGGACATCACTAGTCATGTGGTTTCTGTGATGCTCCCAATACATTTGTGTTTGCTACTCACATAACTCGCGACTAGGTACACTGGATTCGAATCCAAGTTCTCCAGAGCGTCGGCCTATGTCTTTATTGCCTCAGCTGTATATATTTATATCATATAAATCTGTAAAATAATTTTAAGAATACATTATTTTTAATTTCTTTTATTATTATTAAGAGATATCTGTTTCCTTGTCAACAATTATATAAAATTAAATTAATTCATTATTATTATTATTTCTCAAATAATTATAATACAATATAGACCATTTGAGAACCGATACTATATTGCATATTGTCTTCTTGGACGTTTACGGTCCCTGTTTCTGTTTCTATAAAGAAAACCGAGGAGGCCGAAACCTCCGCTTTACCGTCTCCCGGGTTATTAAATGCTGGCATTTGGCGTGGTCCAGATAAAGGATTTTTATACCTCCAAAGCTTGACTTTATTTGGATCTAAGATATTAAAATTTTAATAAGAGAAAATTTTAAGTTAATTATTGACCTGTAAACAGATATTCTTACCTTTAATTAGATGGTTTATTTTAAGTATACGACAAATGATATTTGAATATCTATCTCCATTATACACCGGAACAGTTATTTCGAAGTGTCCGGAGTGAGGTTGCGGATTGAGGAAGCGGACGGGAACAAAAGGCTAAATAAATAATTTTCGAAAAATTATTTAAAATTTATGATCTGACGCTGTTAAAAAATAAATCTAAAATGTTCTTACTTCAATAGCTTCATTAGCAGATCTTTGGGGGCGGAACCCATATTGGTTGTTTTGTAAATAATGGTTTGTTTCCAGATGCCACAGTAATCTATTGGTCAAAAGCCTCTCATATACTTTGCCCAGAGTTGGTAAAAGGGAGATAGGTCGGCATTCTCCCTCTTTTCCTGGTTTGGGAACTGGCACTATTTTTGCGTGTTTCCAGGATTTTGGAAATATGCCATATTTGAGGCATACATTAAAAATATTAATTAGTTTTTCAGGGATGAGAGCCCAAAGATTTTTAACCAAAAGTGGTGAAATATCGTCGTGTCCTGCAGCCTTTTTGTTATTTAAATTCGCAACTATTCTGGCTATTTCTTCGGTCTGGAACTCGGGGGTGTTATCAGTGTTGATGTCTTCAGTATTATTATTCCTTATCCTATGATGGTAATCCGTTTCCTGTCCCAAAGGGTCTGAAAGACAAAAGGTGTCCATCTTTTTGTTGGCTGCCTCTTCAAAGTTCTGTCCAATTCTAGTAGAGTGGAGAATCTGTGTAGTTCTCAGTTTGTTGGTACATAGGCGGGTAATAAACCCCCATGGATTATGTCCTGCTTGTTCGCAAAAGTCTTTCCAAGATTGAATTTTAGCCAATTTAATGGCATTTTTGTAGACTCTTTGGTGTTCGAGGTAATTTTTCTTGAGTTCAGATCGATCAGGCTCGCAGTGGCACCCTTGAAAATTTTTCCTCAGTGTTATATTTTTAGCTCGTAGAACACCTAATTCTTTATTCCACCATGGCACCGTTTTCTTTTTATTAATGTACATTGGTATATACTTCCTGCAGGCATTATTGATGATATCAATTGAGCTATCGATAGCATGTGTTGTCATTGATGTATCTTCCCTATCACATATAGGTAAATATGTTTTTAAATAATTCTGAAGACCATCCCAATTAGCCTTTTCCAAATTATATTTTGATCGGGGTTGTTTAAGATTGCTCTCCTCGTTATTGGATATTTGAAAGGAAATCATTGCATGATCTTCAATCGATTCTTCCAATATTTTCCAGTCTTTAACAGAAGTGAAGCATCCCAAAGAACAGGCAGTTACGTCTATCCAGCTTTCTCCTCTGCTGGATACGAAAGTTGGAGGAGATGTCGGATTATTTACGATCTGCAGACCGTTCCTAGCGAAAAATTGTTCCCAGAGCCTGCCACGGTCATCTAGTCTTTCTCCTCCCCAGGATGGAGAGTGTGAATTAGTATCTCCTGCGACTATGAAATAAGTATTGTTAAAAATATCAATTACTTTTTGCAGATGCATAAAGAAATTTTCCATGTTGCAGACCTTAGGACAGTAAAAGTTAATGAATAGGTATCTGTTTCCATTAATAGCAATTTCAGTGCAGGTGATATAATTGTTACTTATATTGCTATGATGTAAAATTGAGAGGTCGTTATTTGGGGCTATTGAAGCAGCCCAAGGGTAATCAGAGGTGCCAGTTAGAGATGTGCAGGTTTTAGGTAGGATTGCGGGTTTTGATTTAATGCAGTACGGTTCTTGTAATAGGATAAAATCGAACCTATTAATTACCGAGGCAAGTAAAGATGTCGCAGCAATGCTTCTACCAACATTGTATTGCAGAAAACAGATGCTTTTTTTATTGCGACGATCCATAATCTGTTCTTTGAATAATGTTATTCTTAATTCTATTATATACTTTACAAGTGTTGTCTCTGGCGTTGTGTCCGCAAGTTGACAAATTTTCATGCTTGCAATTGCTACATACTGCAGGTTTATTTTTATTGTTACAATCTTTAAAATTGTGATTGCCTGCACAATGACTGCACGTTGGCTCCTCTTGACTGCAAGATGAAGAGGAGTGCCCGAAACGACAACAGCGGAAGCATTGTAAAACTGGGTAGAAGTCAGATGTGCGGCACTTTGACCATTGCACGGATAGCTTCTCGATCTTTAATAAGTGCATTCTTAGTTTTGACGAGACTTGAATTACCCAGTTGTTATAAAATTTACCTCTTTTACCCAATCTAAACTTAATTTTAAAGTTTTCCATAAATTCGGATTCAGAATAGATATCACCAATACAGTCATTTTGAGCATATATACAGTATGGCAGCTCGTCTCTTGTAAGCTCCGAAGGCACTGAATAGATAGCCATATGAGGGAGTTTTTTCTTAGGTTTCTTAATATTAATCTGTGGTGCTTCTTTAGTTATGAATTGCCGGAATCTTTCTGCCTCCTCCTTATTTCCTATTTCTACCACTACTCCTCCTCCTCCTATGTTCCTAATTTTATCTATACCAATGCCTAGTCGTGTTGGTTTTATTGTATTGTATAACATTTGTCTTAATTCGTATGAGGTTGTTTTTTCGTCAACACTATACAGTAGAAAGACCTCCCTTTGTTTATTCGGGAGTTGAGTTGGTTTCTCTGCATTAAAACAGCCTGATTTAAGGACCTCGCTATATGATTTCATGTTATGGCTATCATTGTGGCAATGTTCTTCCATCATTTCTATTTTTTCATGTAGACATTTCTGGTTGTTTAATATCTCGTGCATTATGCTATCAGTTATCCTATTTTCCTGACTCTGTGATGTTTGCAGTTTTTCTTTTGTATCTAAATTAGTGATTTTATCATCTATGATACTAAGTCTTTCTGCTAAGTTCTGGTTGTTGATAATGTTAGCTGCAGTCTCTAGGTTACACATTTTGTTATCAATGTGATCCAGCTTTTCAAGAATCAGTTTTTGTGAATCTAGAATTATTTGCTGGTTCAAGCTTTCCCCTACATCCTTTTTGTTGTCAGAAGTATTCGATTCCTGTTCAAGGACCACTGGTTGCTCAATGATTGAGATAGTGTTCTCAGCCAATACAATAACTTTTTCAAATTTTTCTAAAATAAATTTCATATGTTTTGGCACATCAAGTCTTCCTTTGGGATTAGCCAATGCATATTCACTGATTTCCTCAGTTATTTTTAGTGCGTTCAATCGAAATGTTTCTAATGTTAATGAGCCCATTTTGTGATATAATATTATATGGATTGCTAAAAATGAACTTAAGATGAATAATAACAATATGTATTTAGATATATTAACACTATATACTTATCTCTATAATAAGCTAATACTTATATATAC